ATAGTAAAATTAATGCATGCTCATGAAAATCAGTTGGAGAAGTATACAAATATTTACGGGGGAAATCAGTTGAGATACTTTCAGCGATTAGTAAATATAAAGTAATATAACTGACCTTCATTATCTGCAGTAATGTTTTATGAAGTCACCAGTGAACCCTTGATCTTAGAGGAAATTAAAGGGCTTGGTTCCTTAGTCACTGATTACATTTTCATTGATAGATTTTCATCAATCTATAATCTTGTTTTAACTGTGTTTCTGTTTAAAAGTAACTATTTACTATATATTAATTCACTAATATTTAATTCATAGACAATAAATAGCATTTTCTATAGCTAATGCCTGAATGAAATTTACCTCCCACACATTTTTGTCCCACAAGGCAAAGCCTTGTAATGCTTAGAAACACTAGACAGTACTTTAGGATTATGCATCAGATTGATTTTAAAATCAATGGTGTGAATCACCAACAAAAAGCACCAAAATGAGAAAAAATATATCACACATGAACTGCAAAAAGGACACTTACTTGCACTATAAGAGCTGAAACAGGAAATGAGGGTATCATTTTGTTTAACCTCAGTTGGACATATTTTTTCTAGTGATTTAAATTATTTTCCTATATTGGGAATGTCTGTGCATGGCCATAAAGAAACTGCTAGTATTCATTTGAAGGCTGTTAATATATGTTAGTGAGTATGAGTTCACAGTGTGGAACAGTGAATGAGAACCAATTGTATTTCCTTCTGATGATTAAAATACTAGTTTCTGAAAATCACAGACATTTTATAAGATGACTTTTCAGAAACATTTGCAAAGCTTTCTCATGCAGAGATTTTTGGGGCCCTAGGCCTGATACAGATTCATTCATACATCCTGCTTACTCTGTAAGTTTAAGGTCTGCACTGTGACAGATATGGAGATAATAAAAATTAATGAGATGGTGTCCATCTTGTTTCTAGTTCATAGTTTAATGGAAGGAGATATAGAAACTAATCTAATAAAACATGATAAGGTCAATGTTATACATAATAGGCACAGTGTTTTGGGGGCACACACACACACATGCATAGAATACAGCTGGTAGAGGAGGAGATGCCTCAGCTACATGCTAAGGAAGTAGTATGCTATCAGGACAAAGGTGAGTGGGAGTGATGACTATTAGCGTGAATACTTCACAACATAGATGTTGACATTGATTCAGAAGTCTTTGGAGATAAGTAAAGTGACTGATTACTAATTATTCTAACGAATATCTTCCAGGCAACAAGAGAGTTTATGGTATCCCTTTTAGTTCTACCTAGACTTATGATCATCATAACTAATTAATGCAAACAACATATCCTAGATGTTTTGACAGGTAGGTAAAAGATTTTATTTTGGTGTAGTGTGTACCATGATAAACTGTAATTTTGTCAGCTTTCCACATAGATGATAAACATCCACAAGAAAAAATTTTTTCTAACTCTTATGTAAAGTCTGCAAATAGAAATCACCATATACTGTGTAGTATAGTTTCTTTTGGGAATAAATTTAATCTCATTGAAAGTTTATCCCATATATGAATTGCTTAGTTAAAATGTTTCCATTCTGTTGTTTCATTTAGAAGTAAAGATCTGGGTATATGGAGAGGGAATTATTATTCACATTTAATATAAGGATAATCTTATCTATTTTCCTTTTCCAGACTTATTTATTAGTCCTTTTGAGATTAAAATAGTTCCAAGGCTTTATAGTTTCATCAACATCAAAAAAAAAAGCAACACAAAAATTCCTTCATATGCCTCTTCTTCTAATTCAGTAATCACATTACCAATGTCTTGTAATATTTTAAGAGATATGCTATGCAGTTACCAAGGTCTGTATCTATATGTTTAAATTTTATGAGACGTTAAAATGAAAAACCATAGAAGACTGAATGAATAATACCCTAGGAAGACAGTTACCTCAAACTCCATTTTCTTCAAAAAGGTAATAATGTATTTTACAACTTAAACTCACTGGGTATAAAGGCAAGGAATGGTCTTTAGTTTTTTTCAGTTTTAAGGTAAAGGCAACTAGTATTAATTGGGAGCTTGTAGTACACATATATCTGTGCTGGAAACTTTATACGTTTTTGAAGCTTGCAAAGATATCATGAAGGAAACATCCCCACTTTATTAAGGAGGTTGTATCTCAAGAAAGGCAAAGTGAATTCTTAATGTCACATAACTGCTAATTAATGGAGTCACAATTAGAATCTAGTATTGCAGGACTCAAATATCTATGTTCATTCTATATATATATATATATATATATTCTAGATCCAATGTTTAATACCTTGATTATAAACACAGGTATGCCACTTGATATTAACAAATGGTTTAAAAATCCTTAACAGTGACTTGTACTGGTAAATTCACCCTTCTTAAATTTAATACCAATTATTTTATTTGCCTTTATAAAGCAATATTGCAGTAGTCATATCCCTTTTGAGAAACCCAGAGAGCTCAGTAGAGGCCTGCAGATGGCACTGCTGCCCGAGTCACTTAAATCTAACTTTGTAATAACACGTTTGTTTTAACTCAAGTGATCCCTTGTAGAGAATATGAGGTGTTCTGTACAGATCTTCATTCAGTGGTGAGTCATTTATTTCCACAATTGCCAGAAATATTGGCCATAATTCTCTTTAGGAATTGTGCTCCATGCCAATTAAATTCAACAAAAACCTATACACCATTCTGCAGTTCTCTGGAGTTTTTCATTTTGCAGCTTTCAATCATCCAAACTGATTACTTCTTAATGCAGACACAGGGCTATATTTTGATTGTTCCTTCCTACACTGTGATACTTCCATCTGAGGCAATTTAGAAAAAGCTCACCTTGTTTTTCTTTTCTCAGAAATTGTCCTGTGCATTAGCTGTTGTAGTCCAATGTCTAAAGACACTTGTTTCATAAATTTGTTATCTGTTGGAGAGGTACAGATTGTCAGGATATAAAATTCTAGAACCAATTTTTTAATTTCACCAAAGTCAAAAGAATCACCACTGATAAAAAAATGTGAAATATAAGGACAGAAATGTAGTAGTTTTAATCAGTGAAGGGTTTGTTAGGCTCAATGTAAAAAGGAAAAGATTTAGACTGAGTATAGGTTTGCAAATTTCCATATTTAAATTAACTGTCTCATTTGATTTCTGTAATATATTGGCCAGATAGATGTTACTACTCATTTAGATGAGTCAGACTGTAAGTTTCTTGAGGACAGAAAGGTAGTCTTGTCAATAGAAAATTCCATGTACTTTCAAGTACATAAATGGAGAACATACGGGAGACTGGATTATTGTGTAACAATTAGACGATACTGGGGACAGTCAACAGCAATTATTTCTGGGACTAGCACTATAATTTATAAAATAACCAGAGATTATCTGACCTATTGTAATCTGCACTTCCCTAAAAATTTGCTGAACTATTTCATACCTTTGCCTTCAATATCCTCCCCACTGTTTCTTTACTCTCTGCTGTTTACTTTGATTCATATTTCCCAAGGAAGTAAAAGCAAGTAGAGGATTTCTATAAACAACCAACATCTTAACTTCCTCATCAAATTTTCTCTTTACATTATATAAAAATTAACATATTTAATATGAATAAATATAAAACCAAGGTCAAACTGTTACAAAGCATTATTTTTTTATCTAAATAAGCAACATACTTCGTATTACTACATCTTTTAAAAGGAAAAAGTTATAGTACACAAACATCTTGGAAAGAATTTCAATTTTGTCCAAAATTTGATAACCACGGCTTCTGGGGTAAGGATTGTTTTTCTGTCCAAATTTTAACAAAAAACAGTAACTTTATAAAATATGTCATTTTAAAGAAAAAATGTATGACATTACATTGAGAAATTAGGACAATCATTGAACATCATTCTGGATCTGTGACACTTAAGCAATGGATCTTAAACAATGTTGGACAAAAAACTGCTGCAAATTTGTATCAAGTCAAATAAGCAGAAAATTTAAAGTATCTTGTATTAATATGTGAGGCATGTATATTAGGCATTTTCTTCAATGATATAAAGTGAGTGTGCTACCATGGTGACATTTATTAAGTGTTTAAGACAAATATTTAGGGCAGTGATTTTCAGTTGATTGCATACTGGAATCACTTTGAGTGAATGAAAAATACTGATAACTTTATGCCATCCCTTAGAATTTACTTAATTGGCATAATGTGAGAAAATATTGGTTCGAAACTCTCCAGGTGATTCGGATATGCAAGGCTTGAGAAAAATTAGTTTAGAAAATGGTCCCTTAATCAGAATAGCCAATAGACATCTGAAAAAAATCGCCATGACATAATTCTTATTTTTATTTTAAGTATCTTATAGTTATATTTTCCTTGATTGGAAAATAAACACTTTAAGGAAAAATATTTTATTATACTCTCTTCATATCTGAAAATGAAAGGCACATAGTAGTTGCTACATAAATATCTTTAGAACACATGATTGCTTTTACTTCTTTTATACCTCTATTTTCTAGTAGACTTATTTACATAATGTAAAAGCTATTTACTCAATACAACAAAGGACTGATATAAATGCAATGTTTAAGGCAAACTGGTCTCTCTCCTTCACTCACACACAGTTTTAAAAACCAAAATATATATATATAAATAGATTAAAAATAGAAAAATATACAAAAGTGCAAAATTTAGCTACTGAGAATTAATTCATAGGGTTTTCAAAAATTACTCATATTCTTAACACTCAAAAAAAAGTAACAGCAAACAACCAGTTCTTTAGCTAATATCCATAACACATATGTATGTAGATAAGTTTGCTTCTTTCAAAAACAGAATTACAGCTAAATCTTGATGTGTAGGTCAATTTTCAAAATTCAAGCAGATAAAATTTTAGCACACACCATGAAAATTTGTCCAGATAGTTGTGTAAAAAACAAAAAATTGCTTCTGGTTAAAACATCTAATAATAACCTAATGTTATGTACCTTCTTATATAATGTATCCTTTTAAGAAAAACCTTATTAATAAATACTCTATTTACTTGTGAGATTCAGATATGGCTTAATTCACCATAGTTCCACAAACATTACATAATTTTTATTTCAGTTAGTATCTTAGACTACGAAACTTTGGTTTCCTTAAAATAAGTATTGGTTGCTTGATTGTAGGTCTGTCACCAAAAAGTGCTGCTTCACTCTCTGTGGTTGGAAATCTTTTCTGATATATCAGAGGATACGCCTTCTGAAACTTAAAACCAAGGTGAGGAATTAGATGGCATTTAACATTATACTAGTTGAAGTCAGCAGTCAATATTTTGTAAGAATTCAGTATCTTTCACAAAGATGTATTATATTAGACACGAGGATTCTTTCACCTTGTCCTGGCTTTTTTCATGTGAAAGGTACAATGTAAGGTTTCTTAAAACCCCAGTTGGCAGTAACATTCCAGCTTTCCTGGTACCAGTTCTCCCTTTCCATTACTCCCTTTTCTGAGCACTCCACACTTAGAATTGGACTTACCAAAACATGTGGCTCTGGGTTTGCAAATAGGGCTAAAAATTCTAATGTTATTATTGATGAGCCACTGAAAGTTATACATTATAATCCAACTTTTATAATTGCTTTCCCAAGCTAACCCAAACTATAATCACAGAAAACACCAAAAACAAAGGAAAGTAGTTATTGTTAATGTTTATTGTTTCAGGATAAAGAGTAAAATCAAGAAGGTGGTTGTACAAAGTCTATCTATTCAATATATAAAATACAGAATATTAAAATAAGAAATTAGATTCTAAATATTAAATAACACAACAGCTAATATTCTCTTACCTGTTTTAGTTTTTTCTTTTTCTCCTTTAGAGGCAAACTCTTATTTTTAATTATATTCTCTAAAAGTTCTGAAATTGCAGCTTGAGAGGTAGAAACTTTTTGTTCATCAAACTCCCGAGCACTGATCTGCTTACAGTATGAGTATGTTGGCAAAGGAGCAATCAGTTCTTCTCCAGGATTTTTAATCTATAGTGAACAAAATGACAATGCAAATCTAAATTCTGGTCAAGTCTCTAGCCTAGCTGGCAAAGCATTTTTCGGATGGAATATGGTATCATTATCTTACTACCAAACATTCAATACATTCAACAAAAAATACAGAAGACTGTATTATGCAGTAGAGTAGTAATAAATCAGTGGTATCTAAATCCAAGTTCTAGCTAGCTTTGTAACCTTCAGAAACCTATTTAATTTCTCTTGGTCAGTTTTCTCTCATCTGTACCATGGGGATTACATGAGATTATATATAAAGGCTGTAGCATACAGTGTGTATTAAGCATTAAGTAGCTATCATTATTTTCATTATTATCATTAACTGTAGATTTTTTTATTACAAAACAGTAATGAAAGAAAAATAGTGGATGGTTTTACTTAGGAGGAATGCAGAGGATCCAAGTAAGGTATCAGGGGAAAAAAGTTAACTATAATAAAGTAAAAATCAAAATCAACAAGCAACTATAAACCAGATATTGTGCATGGGGAGAGAGGAAGGAGTAGGATCAAAACAACACTGGGAAGAGCACAGGGGACTATGGTGATGGTGCATGAGTGAACTGGTGGTGGGACTTATATGGGGACTATAACTGAGATGAGAAAGCATACATTGCACAAAGATGAAGAATGATGTAAAAAAATATAAAATGAAAACAATTAATGTTCTGATGTAGTTAAGCTAATTACCATTTTTGAGGTACAGAGGCGTAATAGTCCATGATACATTGATAAAAGGAAATTGTAAAGGTTAATTGTAATTATAAATCAGGGTGCACACTGGATATATTTTCATTTTTGTTTTAAAGATTTACTTAGTTATACATATAAGAACTGGGGTATAGGCCAGAGATGTTGGAGGGGGAGAGCGGGGGCGGGGGAGCAGAACAGGTAGACTGACTGAAGGGAGCAGTGGGCCAGACAGAAGAGGTTTGCTGTGCCATGTGGGTCAGCTCCCTGGCTGTGACTGAACTCATGCCTCAATGGCTGGTGATAGTTTGATAGCATTGAGACTTAACCTCTGTGCCACTAGGGTGACCATGGATACATTCTGAGTATAATAGACATTTCTTGCAGCTGCTCAGTATTTTTTTTTCTCCTTATAACACTTCCACAGTTCCTTTTCATTCTGCTTCAACTGCCATCCTCACTTTTTAAAAGAACTGATCCTTCCTTAGTCTATGATCCAAATAAGAGTATGGTTCTTCTTCCAACCTACTCACTCTCAGCCACCCAGATATTAGGTCTGTCAGAGTCCATACTAAGAACTTTTCAAATTGGAGGTGGAAGGATAGTTCTTTTTTCTTTTAGGTTGTGAAGTTTAACTCAAGAGGTTTACTCAGTCATATTGTTCTCATATGAAACAGTAAGTTGTCAAAGATAGGACCAACATAGAAATGAAGGATAGAAAAGAGTCTCATTGAGACTTGAGTTCTCAGATTTTGCCTACATTCCTTCAGAGGTTATTTATGTGAGCTGATAAATCTCCCTTTTTTATTAAGGCTGGTTTTATAGGAATTGCCACTTTAATGCAGAAAAATTTTAGCTTTACAGTACATACATGGCCTCTTTTTAAGTATTCAAGATGTTTCTCCACTTCAGACTGTAAGTAAGTGGGTACTTGAAGAATTTCCTGATGATGATCCATTAAGAAAGAAACTAATCTTGCAGCAAGAAGCTCATCAAGATCCACTTCTTCGGCACAGCACAGCACACATCGAGAAAAAGTGTGTATCATCTAGAAGCATATTAAGAGATACCAAACTGATAAATCTCAGGCTTTATATAGATTAGAGTATCAGTAATTTCCAAGTAAGATTATACTCAAATTCTGATAACCAATTTTAGCTTAAAAATGAAGGTGATAAAATGTTATTTTTAAGGTAGAATGTATTTCATTTTATTTTTTTTTTTTTAAAGATTTACTTATTTATACATATGAGAACTGGGGTACAGGAGGCATGGAGGGTGAGAGGATTCACCAGAGACAGAATGGGGAGCAGAACAGCTGGACTGGCTGAAATCTACTGCTGACAGGAGCAGTGGGCAAGACAGGCGAGGTCTGCTGTTCCATATGGGTTACCTCCCTGGCCGGGGATGAACTAGTGGTGCAGTGGTTGCAGATAGCTTCATAGTGCTGTGCTTTAACCCCATGCACCACTAGAGAGGGCCCAAAAGTGTATCATTTTATAAATACATTAAAAGAGTTTTCTTAATATATTTCCAAGGGAATATGAAGGTTTAGTATTTTCTTTAACTTTGTCATTATTTTAACAGTAAACATGACAGGTTCCATTAATACTCTATAAATATGTTGCCTAAAGGCCATTAGAGAATGACTTCTTTATCTCACAAAAACACAAACCAGAAGATCTACATATCAGTGCAGACAATCTTGGAGCCCATTTACTTTTCAAAATTCAGAGCAGTTTTTTAATGCTTATTTCATCAGCTTTGAAAGCAAATACATGTATTTTTCAATTCCTTCATAAGAAATCTTCAAATTCTGAGATAAGTTGTTGCAAAATAATTTATGCATTCATACCATATATAACTGCCCCACCATCATTCTAAAATACTAAAAAAATTCTATTTTAATATTTGGCACCATGCAGGGTAAACAGAAATTATCAAATTTTTCTGCCCTCCTGTCATTAGCATCTATGATCTATACCTGTGGTCTTACACACATGGCTAGTGGAGGCATCTGGAGTGTGGTGTGTGTGTGAATGGGCACACTTTAGCTGTGTCTGAGTATATGGGGGAAGGGTGATAAAGAAGCACAGCAGCAGAGGAGGGGAAACGGCCATGGACTGTGTGCAGAAGAGAGACCAATGAAGAGACCACTGAAGAATGCCAGAAATACTAGAGACAGTGAAGATTTGCAGGGGGCTAGGAGGCCCCCCTGCCTGACCTGTACCTGGTTATCTCACTATAAATGGTGTAGAAAGATCATTAAAAGCCTGAAAAACAAACAAACAGAAAAACACTAAGTGCTCCATGACTTTTTACCGTTCTGCCTGGATCCATAGAGAACCTGCTCTGTACCTTGCTAGCACTATACACCCAATATATGATGAATGTTTTGATTCAAATGAAATTTTTGGTTTATTTCCTCAATTTCGAGCAGGTTTCTTCATCTTCTTCTAAAACCTACTTTTTAAGTTTTAAGTTTTCTTTCTCAATTTTTGTATTGCTCATTTACTCTCAAGGCTTCTACTACGTCTTCAAAATATATGTCCTGAGCTTTCTCATTTTCACATTTCCAACATTTTGTTTTATAAATTTCACCTAGATTTCCTACAACCCCTAAACTCAAAAAGTATAAGGTCAAAATAATCTCCTTTCCATCCATGTCTCTCAAAATATCTCCCCCTACAAACTTCTTTAAGCTTTTAAATGGTGCCATAAATACTCAACAATGATTCTTCCTTGTTACATATAAAGTATGTCATTATTAAAGCCCTATAGTTAATGAATGAAAGAAAATAGCTTAGTTGTAGATTTCATACTATAAGAAGCTTTTGTAAAAAAAAAAGAAAGTATTAGGTACTATTTCAAGTGATCATTTCTAGTCAATAGAAGCAAATAAATGCCTCTACCATTATCATTACACAGGGCCTATGACCCTTCACAGTAGTTTCTCCCAACTACTTGCTCACAATGATGTACTATCCTGATTTACATAATTCGTTATGAAGAGATAAAGGATGAGTGAAAAGTCAAAGTCCTCAGATAAGACAAGATTAAGATGGGGGGGTGTAATAGAAGAGCAAAAAAGGTTAACACATCAACATTCTGATGCTAGGAAAGGTTCGATTTTCAAGAGACTTTCTAATTCATGATGCTAGAATTTCAAGACTACAGTTATAACTGGAGTAGTGAGACTTTAGATTATTTGTTTTGGTTTATTTATTTATGATCTCTTGAAATAGTACAAGGCTGTCTTTCCTTAAGACATCAGTGTAACTCACCAGTGATCTTGTACCCATTGTATCATGAAGTCGGGGCATATCAACATTTTGACTCATTCGAGAAATCATGCGCATTAAAAGTTGAAGTTTTCTACGATTTGGTGGGGGCAGTAACAAACAACATAACTGCAGTGCATCAATGGCAACTCTCTCTAAATGAGGGTGCAGCAAACCTAAAAGGCAAATTAACCCCCACCAAAGAAATCATAAGTGACACACATTATTCATACAACTAGCATATATAGTTATATATAGAAGGCAAAACATTATTTTAGTAATTCTTATAACTGTGAAATTTTCACATTCTTCAAAAGCACTATAAGATTCTCATTTTCTCTATAATCCATTTCTAAATATTAAAATACTTCACTTATTATAAACTGAGTGACTCAGGACAAGTAAAAGTGAAAAAAAAAAGAAATTAAGTGCTTTTAGGGAAGTAGAATAAATCTGGGTCATGCCATGACAGCAGTATTTTACAACAAGAAATTTCATTTTGGAAGAAAAATAAAGCCATTTCAGAGAAGAAAAGCCACATAAGAAAACAGTTAGTCAACATTAAGAGTTAATATTACATGCATCAAAAGCATCAACCTTACTTTGTGTGCCAGTCAACATAGAAGAAGATGGAGGCAAAGAATTTTCTGAAAGTTCTACTGCACTTCTGCAGAGTCTTTTATTGATTGTGGCACTAGACTCTCCGAGTTCACTTTCCATAGCTGTTTGCACACTTGTAATGCCACGTCCAAGATTTGGTTTCATGATAATTTCAGCCACTGGCATATTGATATAGCTATTCTTTCTTGTACTACTTCTTAAAAGTAAACTCTGAGATCTACAAAGTTGTTTTGACTTGCATTTTCCACTATATAACTTTTCTTGTTCTTGAATAGTTAGAGTAGATGTTTTCCTAAAACCAACAGAGACTGGCTTTTCAATGCTTTCCTCTGAATGAAGTTTCATTAGGGATTCCTGTTTGGTTTTAGATTCTGAAAGTTGTTTACTTTGTCCTTCTATGTTTAGAACAGATTGATGGAACATGCTGGAGACCTCTATACTTGAACTCCCTGGCATATCTACAATTCCTTCTAAAGAATAGCACTTTTGTTTGATGTTAGAGGATAGAATATGCATACTACTTAAGCCTATTAAATTATGACAGCTTCCACCCATTACATCATTAGCTCTTCTGTTTTTTAAATTAACTAGCTGTACTCTTTTAGCACATTTTTCTTGAAATCCTTGATCACTTATCTGTAGTTTCTCAGTAGTATCTGATTCTTCTTTGTTTTTGTCTTTATGAAGTAGACTAAGAAGAAGACACTCAGTTGATTTGAAGGAATTCAAACAGTTTAAGTGAAGGATTTCTGAAGACTGTGGATCATCTTGAATTTTATGAATCCCATTGAGTTTATGTGAAACTGTGATGTAGCCACAAACAACTACCAGGAAATGAAATAAAAATTAAGATGCAACTGTATGACAGTAGACAAAAATAAAACAAAAACAATAGTAAAGTTAAAAAAAATAAAGCATACAATAGTATATATTGTTAGTAAAGTACAAATAGCAGTTGCTTAATTCAGAAGCCACTTAAATAGGACACATGCAACATTCAGTCACAAAGCGTAAGAGTTAACTAGAAATTTTCCAACTTGAGATATAAATAACTTAAAATTTACTTTAACAATATAATTAAATGAGCTAAGCCAAATACATTTATAATTATTTGTTCTCAAACTGTAAGCAGAAACCATAACTATGGTAAAATAAAACATGTTGATTTGGTCTTTGCTCCTGGTACCTACCACTTAAAGCCCTTGGAATTTCCTGAATAGAATTCTTGTTTTGTTTGAGCACCCAGAGTTTATGCTACTAAGGTGATTCATGGCTAGCTTTATTTAGAGTTGGAACTCCTGCCCTCCCTCCAAGCCTTCCTGAAGGAGAAAAGGAGGACAGATGGAAATTGAGTTCAATCACCAAAGTTCAATCACCACAGTCATCGATCATGACTGTGTAAAGGAACCTCCATTAAAACTGAAACAAAGCTAACAGGGTTTTCTGGTTGGTGAACCCCACAACACGCTGGGAGGACAATTCTGGAGAAAACAAAGCAGTATTACACAATCCCTATCCCCATAACTTGCCTTACATCTCTTTCTTGACTTATAATAAAGTGGTAATGTAAGTAAAGCACTTAAAGAGGTCTGTGAGTTGTTGCAGTTAATTAATGAATCTGAAAGAGTGCTGTAATTCCAAAATTAGTAGTCAGTCAGGTATAAGTATAAATGGTTTAAGGATTCCATTGGTATGGGCCTGAAGTGAGGATAGTTTTGTGGATTTTACTGTAAATTTGGATATCTAGCATCAAAATTGAATTGACTAACTTTGTCTTTCTTGTTGAGTCTCTGTGTCAGAACTAAACTGAATTGTAGAGCAATCAATTAGTTGAAATGATGTATCTGAGTTATTGAAAACAATACAACAGTAGCGTATCCCTGAGCTCTAAAATAATTTAGAGCCTCCCATCTTCATATTTACTTATACTTTTAAATTACTCAAAAACTTTAACAAATGAATTTAAATAGTAAGTAAAAATTTATACTTACCCAAAATGTTCACAAATAATTCATAATATTCAAAAGTAAGTAGAGGTTCCTGGAGATGTAGAAAATAATCTGCAATAGTTTTAAATACATCTCTTTCAAATCCAACATAAGTTGGGTTATTCAGATCATTATTCCTTGGCCCTAGGAAATACAAAAAAGTAAGCAAAATATGTTTTATTTTAATATAAATTTTGAACATATAAAAAGTTCAAAAGTTCCTGTATTTCATTAAGGAGTTATGTCTTACAGATTTGACAATTCAAAAATTTAAAGGGTTATATCCATCTTATTCTTTGCTATCTTTTTACTAGAAATCATTGCCATCACTAGCATTTTGCTTTATTTTAGTATTTATCTCTGAAAAATTGTATATAAAGCAAAATTTCAAATATATTTTAAAAGTATCAGGGAAATTTATTTTAGTGGGCTACTGCAATTCATTATTATAATTCATTTTATTAGCAAATATAGGATAATCCAAATAATTCTTCCAAACTATCTTTTTTTAAACTTACATTTTGATGACTTAATTTTTGTCATACATGAAACACACCCTTAATGAATTCAACTAACTATCCTTACACTGATATTTAATTAGTTTAATGCTACTGAAATAATAATAATGGCTATCCAATAGTTTTTCTTTCAGAAATAAGACCTGATCACATGTAAGAAATGAGGAAAAATAAACTCAAGAGCAACTTGTCCAAGAAGAATGGGTTCTTGGTAGCAAAGATCGAATGAATTTACAAAGTACAAAGTAAAAGCAAGGACCAGGACCTTGAGATTCAATCACATTTAAAGTATTAGCCAAATATCTATTAAAAATGTTTCTCTGTACAGATCAGAATCCATAGCAGTAGAACTTAGAAATATTTGTTTCTGATTTGCTTACTCAGTTTTCAAACACTGACGGGGGACTTTCCTGGGGCATGATTCTAAAATAAATTAAAAAAGACTTTGAATCTACTAAATCAACTAAATCATAAACCTTGCAAATTTGTCTCCTAGTGAATACAACATGTACTCAGATTTGAGTTACTATGCTACCTATCAAGGTAAAACATTTTTTCTTGCTCAAACTCAACTAATCATTCTTCTCTGTCTTCAGAGAAATTTGTATGGTCACAAAAATATAAGTAAACACATTGAAAAAAGGATTAAAGAAAACAAATCATACATGTATACACATTTACACAACAGCTTAAAAGCTAATAAGGGTTTTCTAAGGGCATGAGAAATATTCTTAGTATGTACAATAAAAATTTGATAACAATTAGTAATAATAATTTGATAATAATTTTACTACAGAAAATACTGGAATTAAAAAGTTTTTAGAAAATATATATGTAAATACATAGCTTCTTATGTATTAGTAGACTGTCTTAGCCTTAGTTTTTCTCTCCTGGAAGAAAAAAATATATGGATAGTATATAGACCCTTCTATATTTGATAGGATTACTGTGGGGGATTAAATAATAGGCGAGAGTCTCAATATGATATATGGCTATAGTTGCTACTAAACTGGCATCTGTCTTTGCTATTAATTAGGTGTAACACATACGAAGAAAAGAAAGGTACAAATCCATACAAAAGATGGAACATCTAAACACTCTTAAAAGTAGTCTTAGCTGAGTTTTTAACCACTAGAAAATATACAAGAAGGGCAGTTAGGAAAAGGTAGAAAGAGAAACTCAAAAATCTTAAACCTATGGTCTAATACTTTACCTCAATTTGATTAATAAAATGGTTCACATTACTTATTTTATTGTTAGTTATTCTGTTATTTTGTCATATTGACACCCAGTGGACAACCAGGGAACATATACTTACAGTGAACATTAATAAAATACTAATTTTGTAAAAACTGGAAAAATGCTTTTGCAACAAAATCAGTAAATGTAACTTAATTTTTGATGATTTTAGCAGTATACAGCTCTATACACTTTTTAAAATTAGGGTTTTTAATTTCAATCACAGTCTTAAATTATAAAAATCAATTAAAACTGATTACTATGGAAGAACCTTGATGAATAAAATGTTATATAAATACTTTTGCAATTCAGTGATAGATGTTTTTTTCATAACCAGGAAACTCCAAATAATAGATCTTATGGAGTAGAAACAAGTCATAAGCACCCGAATCATGAAGCTATACACAAAGTCAAGATTGATATGGACTTTTGAGACTTTATTTCTAATTAGACCTTTTTCACATATAAGTAGCTATTTCCTTAAAAGTAGCTACTTGAAGTCTCTGTAACTCACTGAGGCACGTTGTGTAGATTATGCCTAAAAATCTTTTGCGATCTTCTAACCTACAATTCTATGATTTATGTGAATGGTGTTACAAGTGGTGGGCTTGAATTATAAAATCATCTTTTGTATAGCAAAAAGTTAAGACTCTTAACAAGGAAATGTAAAACATTATATTGTATTTCACTTAAACATTAAACATCAAGAGAAATAATGAATTTTAATCAATACTACAAAGTTATTTTAAATTTTTCTTAGTGCTTGTTACACTATAAACAAAATACATACAGACATTTTTGTTAACTTACAATTTGCTAGGCACTTCATAGCAGATAATACCCAGTGAGGAAGGTCATCTATACACAAAAAAACAATATTATTTAGCAAATCATACAATTGTTATAATAGTAGATTTAAAACCTCATAGTTATTCAGTATTTTAAAATACAAATTTAAAATATATAGGTATATTGAGTTTGACTCTTTCCACAATACATAAAACAATTAGCCACTCCCAATCAGAAATTCATTATATTTTGGGGGGAGGGGTGTTTAGAAATAAATTAGCAGTGATCTTTACTACCTATCTTTTCTTCATTCCATTATCTGTTTTAACAATAGATATGGTATTTGACTATAAAGGTATTTTCAAAGCATCTTAAAAATTTACATTAGTGTTAATTTTAAAAATGAAAATTAACACTAGTGTATCAATTTTAACATTCTAAAATCTTTTAAGTGTCACAGAAATGTGATATGCTTCATAAAATCTTGCAGATTTTTGACACAAACACAAAACACATATACTCAATTTGAAAGTTTATAGTTATAAAGGATAGAAAGTCTGACTGAGACTGTTAAGTATGTTACTGATATTTTAGATAATGAAAAACAGGACTGGTTACAGCTATATGGTGATAAAACTTTTAAGTTTTAGAATTAACATTTTAAATAGATCTACTGTAATTTAGTTTTGTAATGTAAGTTTAACCATCATATCTCATATAACAAATCATTATATAAATACGATTTTTCTCATATTACAAATCATTACATAAATATCAATCTCATATTATAAATATAAATATGTCTTTATAAATATGTATAGTCAGGGTTCTTCAGAATAATGGTATTGAGAGTTTGGTCTATTTTATGGGCTTTACATATATACCTTGACTACTGTAAATTTGTAGATAACTACTCCATGAAGGCAAAGACCACTCTTTCTTGTTTATTATTAAATCTTTAGCATAATACTGTAGGCCCTCTAAAAAAATGTGGTTAATCAATAGTTTTTAAATTTTATTTTTATAACTTTTGATGTTGGATCCTACCTTAAAAAATACATTAGTAAATCAACCTTAGGAGCTAAGATAATAGTATGAATTTTAACTTAAAAAATTATTAATAAATGATCTGTGATAAAACAACTGTTTCCCTCTTACTCCCTCAATTACTGTATTTTCTACATTTTGGTGTCTCTGCACCCTCTCTATAGCTGTGACTTTTGTCAGCAAATTTAAAAAGATTCCAACCTCCTTTTTATTAATACCTACCTGATTTGTCTTGTAGTATAACTATTCCATGTTTACTTGTATTGGTCATGTTGTACATTACATATTGAGGAATTACTTGTTTTGGATTTATGACTTCATCCAGTGATGACACACCTAAAATGGTTTGTAGGCTAAACAGAAGAAAAAATACAACCTTTTTTTCTCTATGAGTACAACAGAATATAAATATGAAAGAGTACATGCTTGACAAAAAAGTTTTGGTTTTTCCGTAAACCAAACTTCGAAAGTTTAGGTTTAATATCTACTTTCAAATAAATTTATAATAATAACTTTCAAAGGATTCAATTGTAACTAGTGTTACAACTTTGATTCAAAAAAATAGGAAATTATACTGAATATACACTATTTTCTAATGTGCTAGAACCATAGCAAAAATATTTTTTAAGAATAAAGCTGGTTTAAATTCTGGGCTATGAGAATGAATCTTATATTTTTCTTTTACATATTTTGATGGGAATATCAAATGAACATTCTAAACAACTCAAGAACTTGTTTATAGCTTACTAGGTCAGAATAATATATCTCCAAACTTCTTCAACATCTTCCTGGCTTATTTTTCTATTATCAACTGAGTTTTCTTGATCTTCATTAATTATTTCACAGTTCATTTTTTCTGTATTTTCCTGAAAAAATAATTTTTTTTAGTTTACGTTGTTCACTCGAAAAAAGGAAATAGTGAACTGATACAATTCCTAATATTAGTATCAGTCCACTGTATAGTTATACAGTGTCACCTGAAGAAATAGTGAAACATGGCAATAGCTTTTGGTTTTGCACTTGTTACCACCATCAAATCAACTTAAAACAAAATCTGCTTAAATTATACAAATGTCCCATGTATTTCTCACTATGATTTTTCATTGCTTTAGTGGGTTCAACCAAACTTCAGTATTGGCTTCAAATATGAAAGGATCATTTACTACTATTCATGGTTCTCTCAGTACATAGAAACTGAATTAAAAGGTGATTGATAAAAGGATATTTTTACCTGAGAGGAATGTAATCCATGCTTCTTAGGAGTTCTACGAGACAAGTTTCGTAATTTAAAAATAGTATCCCTATCTCTAGAAAAGTTCTCTATGCTGCTTTTTCGCAATTCTGGATGCCTTCGTGGAAGAGCTTTCAGTGGAGAATTTGTAGGAAATCTGGTTCAAAAATAACATGTGATTAAATGTGAAATCAAAAACAAACTTCTCGTATCCTTTTTCTTAAAAATAAACACAAATAACTGGATTTATTTATATTATTAAGGAATCAAGATTCTACATACTGATTTTCCCGTTAAAACTTTCAAAACACATTTGATAGCTTCCTGTTTTCTTTAGTATAACATACATATCTTATTTCTGTATAATTTAGGATTATTAGGGTTAATCCTGTTGGGTAGTTAATGATTCCAGTATGACAATGTTCAAAATTCCTTTGAAAAATTACATAATTAATATATATTAAATGCCTTCAACTGTAATTTTTCTAATATCCACAATTTGTTCTGTTGTCGCTTTTGGTTATGCTTTCCTCTCCACTTTAATATAAAATATTTCAAAGATATAAATAGGTACAGAAATATAAAACAACACCCATGTATTTAACAATCAATGCTATTTTTAACATTTTGCCAAAAGATTTCATTATTTTTTTTTCTTTAAATGAAAGAAAATCATTTGCCTATTTCTTTCTCTCTTCCTAAGGAAACTCAATAACCTAATGTATTTTCTTCATTCATTTCATGTTTTTATTATTTGTTTTTATATTATGCAAAAACAATAACTAATTTGGTGTTTTTTCACCAAGATCAATTTTTAGTGACCTCAGCTCTTTCTTATTCTACTGTATTAAAAATATTTTCTTGTATTCTCTCATATAAGTATTTTCATATTTAATATACATATAACTTATAGCAACTATAGATGGGTTTAATTGTTTTCCCAGTACTTAATTGCTTTAATTTAAGCCTAGATATCAGGTAAGACAATTTTTGTTTCCTCTTTGTTCTTCAAATTGTCCTGAACCTTACAATACCTATTGAAGTTTAGAATGTTAACTTCTAAAAAAAATATAAAGGGATTCTGAATAAAAATGTACTGAATTTATATATAAATCTGGGAAGATGTTATTTATGGTATTAAGTCTCATTCATGAATAGATTATCATTTTCCTTTCATTATCATCAGTACAATTTTATAATTTTTTCCAATAAGGTCTTACACATTTTTGGCAAGCTTTATTTCTAAAGTTTTTTGAATTTTACTATCATAGCAGCAGAGACCAGCTGAAGAGTTATGCAGAATCCCAGGTAAGAGAGAATGGTTTAACAAAAAGAATATTCATAATGGGCAGAGAAATGGATAGATAAGGTAACGATTTGGCAGTACAGCAAACATGGATTGATGATGAAATCACATTTAATGAGAAGGGAAAGAATCTGTGCAAGAAAGGGAAGACAGTGCTATTAATTCAGACTGGATAGATTTTTTTTAACATGTTATGAAGTACCTACTAGACAAAAAATGGTTCTAAAGCTCAAGAGAAATTTTTGATTTGGAGGTTGGAAAGGTAGGTAAATACATGGCATGAGATTGTCCGGGAGTGAGGTCAAATGGAGACAAGTCTGGGATCTTGAGGACCAGTAATCAAAGGATGAACAACAGGAGGCAACAAAGGTAACTGAGGAGTAATTATGTGAGTAGTTGTAGTGCATTATGCATAATGAACTATTTATATGGTTGGTGTTACAGTTTTCCTGTAGAAATCACTTTTGATACAAAAGCAAGAATCAAAGTCTAAGATACAGCAATTGAAAAGTACTAATTTTGTAGAGGAAAAAATGCTTGGTATTAGAATCCAAGGACCTAACTTAATGGAAATTTAAGAGAAAAATAAACTATGACAGAGATAGGCCTCACAGAGGAAGCTGTAACAGAGGGATGAGAAAAAAAATACATGTACTAGTTTGACAAATGTGTGGTGTTTCAAGGTAGAAGAACGTTTCAGACAGAATGAAAAAGTTGTTAAAACATGAGCTCAGCTTTTACATATGTAAAAAAAATTAATACCTGCCTATTTTACAAGATAAAATAAGAAAATATGGAAATCATTGAATTGACTTTGATACATGATTAATGCCTAATACTCACTTTAACCTGTGGTATATTTCTTCTGTTATTTTATAAAGTTGATGTTATCTATCATATCACATGAATTATTAAGACTGTTTAGCATTGCATAATTCTCATGGACCTGTAAGAATTTGTATGTAATTATTACATTTATGAAACCAAAGTTAATTTTTCTTTAAAATGTCAGAATATGCAGAAGTGAGATTTCACTTTTCTCAGTTTCCTATTTTATTATATATATCACCTAACATTTAAGACTTTTGAATTATATAGCAATTTAACCTCTAAATGGTTTTATTTGGGCTAAGAGCAGTAGTAGTTTCTAAAGAAGCTATTTAACTTTAGTATTAAATAATTCAGTTTTCCAGTCATTTATCTGTTCAGTACCTGAATAGCTGGCTGTTGTCATCAAGGTTTTCTGATCCCCATTTGCCTTTGATATCTTCAATTACATGATTCTTGAGAAATTTTCTCAATAGTTGGATAGTCTGCTGCCTTGTAACTTCAGGACCAAAATTGCTATTGTTTCTTAACAGGTCATAAAGCCAATCCACTGCTTCTCCTGCTGTAAAACAATTGCCATATTTTTTAAAGTGTTGCCTGTGTTTTCTTAACGGCATCCCTGCTCGAAAAGATGTGGTAACTTCATTCCACTGCAAAAAAAGACGGAAAAAACAAACAAACAAAAATCTCTTACTGATTTGAAATGACTAGAAAAGTAAATTCTTTCATTCATATCTGATTACATCATAAACTTCATGAAGAAATCATTTATATACTAGAAAATTTGATCTCATTAATTTCTTTTGTTTATTCTAGTGTTGATAGTATTTTGTATGATAGTTCTTTTTCATTAAAAGCATTTCATTTGTTGGAAACCAAGGAATAATAGAGAACTAGTGTGATAGGAACTTTGGGACACAGCAGTCATGGAGCAGGTTTGCAAGGCAAGACTCTTCTCCTTGAACTTCTAGAAGTTCTTGTGCCATTTATTGAAAGCATACAGGCTAGTAAAAACTGATCATAGAACAATGGTATGAAGAATAAAGTCTGGAGGGTGGGGTAGGAATGGGGGACAGAGTTTCACAAGGGACAAGAAAGGGGACATTGTGACCATACATTAAGAGTCATTTGTATCAGAAAGTATTTGATGTTTTCACAGGCAGAGTTATCTCAAGCCCACCATGGAGAAAATCATCTAATCAGGTCAACAGTGGCCTAAGTGATTCTGGCCCTGCATTATGATCTGTGTTATACTCTGTATGTAGGTAGTCAGGGAATTCTCTGCTATGATTTGTAGATAGCAAATAGGTCACAGTTGCCCATGAGTGGCCAGTTAGTAGCCAGCTCATAGAAACCTACAGAGAACTACAATGAACCTTCCTTTATTCCTCAACAGAAAAAGTATTATTTAATCCTGCTTATTTTCCCCTGAATTATTAATAATATACTGGTAGCATTTGTATCAGGTACTGTACTTTACATTTTCATTTAATTCTTGTAATAGTACCAATATTATCCTATTTTCAGATAAGGAAATAAAGCCCAGAAAAATTGAATAATTTGACCAGGAACACACAGTTAAGTGAGGAGTCCAGGTATTAAAAACCCAGGTTTGACTGATTTCACAAACTACATTCTAGAGCTATGTAATGCTGGCCATACAAAATTCACAACACATAGTAGATTTATTGGTATATCTTTCACATGAAAGTAGATTATGTTTGCTAAGTTGCTAAGGTACTTATGTTTGCTAAGTATCTTATATGAAGATTCCTATATTGAACATAAACAGAGTAAATCAGTAAATTTAAGTCCATTTTGTCTTTACTTAGAAATTGTGATAAATTTACATTAAAAGTATTTATATTTCCAAATTGTCCTTCAAATCTCCTAAACTTTTGATTTGTGACAGATCCAATATTGAAGCATAAGGGTGATGATGCTGTAGACATATCACTTTTGAATCAAAGTCCCATGTTAGAGATCAAGAGAGCTGACTTGTAACTCCAGCTATGCCAATATAAGCTAGTATCACTCATCTAACCTATGTGACCCTAATACCACAATGCAAAATTTAAGGACTGAAAACAACTCTACATTATTTCTTCAGCATTAAGTGAAAATGACAGAAGGGCTCCTTGCCTTTAAGTAGATAATCAAATAGCCTTTCTGAGATGTCATTTATTATTTTGAGAGTGGGTTCTGGAGATTACTAGGATTTCTCAACACCAGTTTTATCACTTATTGTTTATGACTGGTTGGACTTGAATTAATTTAGCCAAACTATTGATCTATGCCTCAATATTCTTCTCCATAAAATGGGTGCAATATTGCCTACCTAATGTACTTGGTGTAGTGTTAAAATGAATTGATATGTTCTAGTAGTGTCTTGCAATTTTTTAATCTATTGAATTTTAAAACGTGACAGGACTACCTGACCTAAGGTTACTTTCAGCCCTAAATTTTACCCTTATACAGATAAATTTTTAAAAAAGATTTATTTATTTATGTATACAAGAACAGGGATATCGGCCAAAAGTGCTGGGGGTGAGAGGACTCACCAGAGACAGAGTGGGGAACAGAACAGGCAGATTGACTGAAACACACTGCTGAGGGGAGCAGCAGGTGAGACAGGAGAGGTCTGCTGCACCAGGTGGGTCACCTCCCTGGCTTGGATGTGGTATATATATATATATATATACCCAATGGAATGTTACTCAGCAATCAAAAAAGATAAACTCATACAATTTGCAGCAACATGGATGGAGCTGGAAGGGCTCATGCTTTGTGAAATAAGCCAGAAAGAAAAAGAAAAATACCAGATGGCTTCACTTTTTTTTTTTTAAATAATATAATAGTTTATTTTGACATCATTCTGTGCCTTTTTCCATCTCAGTTGTAATCCCTGTGGGCTTCCCATCAACAAAGTCCAGTGCATTTCCCCCCTCCCACCCATTTCTGATCCTATACTCTTACTCCACCCCCTTAAAATGTCTATGATATATAGTTCACTATTATTTTCTCCCCATGTCCTTTATACTCTTGCTATGAGTGAAACCCAGATGGCTTCACTTTTATGAGGAATGTAGAAGATCCAAATATGGGATCAGGAAAAGAAATGATTATAATAAAGTAAAAATCAAAAACAAGGAACTATAAATCAGAGACTTTCTGGGGGAGAGAAGTAGGATCACAACAAAAGTGGAAAGAGCACAAGGGACTATGGTGATGGTACACACCTAAATTGGTGGTAGGAATTTCACGGGGACTATAATTGAAATGAGAAAGCATACATTGTAAAAAATGAAGGATGATGTTAAAAAAAAGGATTCACTACTAGGAAGATATAAGGTTCTTAAGCAGTCATTTATCCTCAGGTCATCTTTTTATATATGAATTTCAAAATACTGAATATTATATGAAAGATCATTCATATGATCAATGAAATTTCCTTGAGTAAAAAGTAAATTTGAACATAATTACAAAAGAAAATAAAATCTGGATTTAAGTTGTAGACTAATCAGTTGTCACGAAGGGCTATTCAACTGATATATCTGCATTAAATTCTATGAACCCAGCAAAAGGAATTTATCATACTCAAGCTTGCCTCCTATCTGACCCTAGAGAACACTGGAACTCATTCTAAATTCTCGAATCCTGATGGGGGCAGTGATGGGATAATCGTGGAATATCTTACGGCATCCCAGGGGTCGCAGACACCACCTGACACAGGGGGTCGCCGAACTAGGAAAGAATATGCCAAGCGACAGTATGAAGGAGGCCTTCCAACGGCTTTCCCTTTGGACCTAACTGCCTCGTGACTAGGGTGCAAAGGCCAAGACCCTCCAAGGAAAGCGAGAGACGTGGCCTACCAGGGGGCCCGAGGCGGGTGACCCTCACTCTACAGTGGCCGCAGGGCTCTAGAATACACCTCCACCCCCCCACCGCTACCCCCGCTCTCGGTGAAACTACGAACGTTCTCACGTTCTCCCCGGCTGCCCAGTCTCGCGTTCCGCGCCGTCTTACCAGCCTGGTTGCCCGGTAAGGCCCAGGAGGCACACTCCGATTCTCCATTCCTCCCACCAAGCTCGAGGTCCGTCAATACCCCGTACTCAGCATGGCGGCAGAAGGAAAAGCCGGGAGGACGACCCCGTCAGCGACGCACAGCACAAAAGTCGACCCCGCCACCGATTTGAATACGCAGAAGGCGGCGCTGATTGGCCGTTCTCTGGATCACGTGACGCCTCGCCTGGTCCCAGCAGCGCGAGGGTGGGCGGGGCGCCTCTCCAGGCGCTAGCGCGAAGTGCCGGGTGGCTGGTACCTGCTGGCCTGCAGGGCTCGCGTGTAGGGCGTGCTGGGAGCCTCACCGGGTTCTCTGGAGCTGCTTCTCCCTCTTGTGGTCGTTGGCGAGGCGGAGTCATGTTTCCGAAACACTGCGAACGGGTGAGGCGGCTTAGTCCCTGACCTAATTGTTTTGAGCCCAGCGTTTTCACATTTGAAATGAAAACCAATAAATAAACGTCGTCCGCCCACTCCCCAGTCTTTTTGGCCTGAGGCTTTCCCCTGGAGTAGCTTTAATTTGATTTGCTCCTACGATTGGCTTTCAAAAAATCTCACTGGGTGAATGTGCAGTGCTGTCACCTTGGTGCTTCTTAGCAGGATTCCTTTCTCCCCAGTGCAAACACATAGGGTACTCACCCAATCTAGTAATAAATGGAGCACCAGTAGATAAGCACATACATTGAGGAGCTTAGGAAAAGTGTGTAAAACTTGCCAAATTGCTTCCCTTAAGATGACCTTACCATTGTACCTTTGTAAGAATCTTGGCTATGTTTATCATGCTTATAACTTAGAAATTTGATACGGATTTTGGAAAATGAGCCGCAGGTGGCATTTTGCAAATGAAATCACTAAAATAAGCTTTCATTACCTGTCTAAACTTATTCAACGGTAGGAATTCCTCAACACAATAGATTAAGAGGTTGCTTGAATGGGTTGAAGTGGAAGAATTAATTTGGAAGTTAAACAGCAATTGGTTAAGGATAGGACTTAGTGAAAAGGAAAGCTATAGGAAGATATTCTAGAGAGGAGTCATATCATGGTTGATATCTCTACTATTGGATAGAAGATAATTTAGATGGAGACATCTGTTTTCTGAGAAAGACTGGTGTATAGGAATTTTGAAAAGGCAAATGGCAAAGAGGAACAATCAGCTCAATTTTGCATTTGTGGTAAGTGTAACTAGAGTGACAGATACTACAAAATAATGTTAACCATACATTTTCCACACATTGTCCTAGGATAATCTTTTTCTCTTAAGGTCTATGTCCCTTCAGAATGAAGTGATGATGAGAATGTGGAAACCAAAATGTATTTTACATTTTGCCTAATTTTAAGTTGGAAATTAACCCCTAAACTGCTTTTGAACTGAGTAACTATAGCTTAATATTACCTGTCAGGGGACAACTATTAATGCCACAACATTAATTTAAAATTATAAAGTATCACCTGAAACATTTTAAACAGTAACAGTAAAAGAATGGTTGGAGAGGGTCTAAGAAGGCATGTAGCAAGATGACTGTGTCACATCTTGAGAAAGTTTCTGAGACTGGTTTTAGATCTTCCAATATGTCAATGGACTTGCACTGCATCATCCACTTTCACGTTGACAATTTCTTTAGAAAAATATCTGAAAACCCAGGTTACTGTCAGTGTAGGTGGTTTAGATTCCTTTTAGGTAACTTACATGCCTCTGATCTTAATAGCTGGTTATTGATGTTAGTTTGATTCTTATAAGTCATTTTATTTCTTTGTTGTTTTTGGGAGCCACCTCATAATCTCCATCCCCCTAGATCATAATTTCTGAGGTTGGTTACAAGCAATTTGTATCGGGGTCACTTGGGATGCCTGCTAAGATGCTGATTCTTTGGATTCCACAACAATTTGGGAGGAGGGCTTAGGAAAAGTTGTATAAAACTTGCCATATTGTTTCCCTTAAGATAATCTTACCACTGTACCTTTTGTAAGAATCTTGGCTATATTTATCATGTTTATAGCTTGAAAATTTGATAGGAGTTTGGAAAATCTGTTACTGACTGAGATGAGTTCCAGTAAAGAGCATGTAACTACGTAAATATTACATCACTACATTTTACTTCTTAATCATTTTTTTTCAAGGTTCCTATATGTCTCATAGTATGAACACATCTGCTAGTTTAGGGCTAGAAGTATAATTTATATTTATTGTTGGTCTGGCAATTGATTTTCAGATCTAGGAGTAGCATACTGTTATGCCCAGATTTGAGTTTCCCAAAGAGCACCAAAAAGCAGATTCCAACACAGAGCACATGAGGGTCTTTATTGCAAGCTTGAGCCTGGGCTCCCAACATGCATCCACGCAGCAGCCGAAGTTGAGAGCCCTGAGCTCAGGGAAGGCAGGGTTTTTATTACAGAAGAGGGGAGTTTCAGTTCAGCAGAGGGGAGTTTTAGCTCAGCAGTACATTGACTGGTTGACATTGAACAAAGTTATCTTGTTTTAACCTGGTTGGCCTGTGCATGTAAGATGTGACCTTCGCTACTCAGACAGCATACCTTAGGACATCTGGTGCTTTCCTAATATGTACTGGTTACTTGCCTACTTGCTAATTGGCTGTTGCTATGGGATGAACAAGATTAGGACACTTACAGTTAAACTCGGCAATGGCGCCTTGTTGATAACCAAAACTTAGGCCTGGCTGGTTCAGAAGCATTCTGAAGCCTGTCATGGCATCATTTAGGTCTTTCAATACCTCCTCATTTGGATAACTATTTCTCCTACTATAAATGCATTTTGAATAGACTCTTCTATCTTCCTTGCTCTTAGGTGTGAAAACTATGTCCAGTTGAGTCAGTGTTTTGCTCGCTCCCCTGGTTCATCTGATTCATCTGAGTTAAGCAGAGTTAGTTCTCTTAGAATTTTTTCCCCCTCAGTTAGGTCCAGCGGGAAGAGCTTTCTTTTCCTGGTGACTAAGGTGAGTCATTAGAGCCAGGAGCCAAGGGTGGGTATAGTTTCAGTTGAATGAGCATTTTAGTATGGTAAAATGTACAGATGCCTAAAGAGAAACAGAAATCAGAGCTAGAAGATGCTTACTTTCCTTTGGAGGCTAGCTTACCTCCATAGAATTGGATTACCTGATCTGATCATTGTTTTTTGTTTGTGTGTTTAGATTTTTGTCACTTAACAGGCAGTGCTCTCCAGTAAACCATTTTTTCAAGAATGTGAACAATTGTGATATTTCTCAGAGGGGTGGAGTGAATGCCTTTTTGACTTTTTGGTAGGGTTTCATACCATTCCATTATATAATAGAGCTCTATAGAGGTAATAGAAACCATTTAAGTACCTGGAGACTATTATCAGAATTGCTCAGTCAGATGCTGATTTTATGAAGAACTTTTCAGATGTTGGACAACTAAGCTATATTTAGGACTTGAAACTTTTTGTTTCTAGCAGGGAGTTTTACCTTCTGTGACCTCTAGTCTCAGAAGAAGTTTTCTTTTAACTACCAGTTGAGTGAACATCAGTTCTTGGTAGCTGGAGTTGCCAAAAATATTTCTCCAAAGCTTCTAATAAAATCCATAGTTTGAAGTGCATTGTTCAAGTCTACTGAGACTTGGAGGGGGACAAGGGTACTAAGACTTGTAGTCAGGCTGTCCTATTCCATGTTTTTCTAGGTTGTGTTGATGTGTAATGATGTCATTTAAATGAAAGTAATTTGGGGTTGAAAAGTTTATGAAGATTTAAATTGTGTGATTTTTCTTTTCTATGCAAGCTTTATTAGCCAGCCTGTAAGATAGCCACCACCAATGATTCATGCTTCTTAGTATTCATGCCCTTGTGTTTTCCCTTACAAGCCAAGTAATAGGGCTAACAGCCTGTGTAGCCAGCAGAAATGACAGTGTAAATCATAACATCTGATCATAAAAGAAATTTCTCTTGGATCTTTTTTTTGGGGGGGGGAGGTCAAAAAAGCTGCCAGATTATGAGGCTATCCAGGCAGTCTTTTGAGAGCTCCCTATGGGGAACAGCTGAACTTTTCTTTTAACTATCAGTTGACTGGACACCAGAAAGTGGATCCTTCAGCCTCTGTCAAGACAACGGATATCCATTCTTGGCCAACATTTGATTGCACCATAATTCTTTCTTTTGGTATCTTGTTTATTCTTAAAAGTGTGTAAAGCTCATGAACATTGATGATATTCTGTTCTTACCAATTGTCAGAAACTGTAGTCTTACTGGATTTCAATTAGAAGGATTCTAAATATAGGAAACGTGATACCTTGAATATTGCAAAATGAATTATTTGACTGAGAATCAGGTTAAAGCAGGAGTGGTTCTAATTTATCTGCCTTCTCTTGTCACCATCATGCATATAATTAAGTTGGGCACCTACTTTTTAGAAGTCTGAGCTGCTAATAGGAATCTAATAGGAATATATTTCTTAGGAACTGTGATCTTCTTAATCAAGCTTTAATGTTACCATTAGTCCTCTGTAAGTTTTTCTAGGAGTAACTTCAGAAAACTGCAGGCATTTTTTAGACTACACATTTTGACTTGTTTTTAAGCCATTACTCCCATCTAAGTTTTCATTTATTGCTTCAGTAAGTATTCACTGCTACTATGTTCTGGACACTTTGCTAGATCTGGGGCTATCTTAGTAAACCATAGTTTCACTCAAAGTTACTAGGAAGTACAAATAAATGAAAAAGACTTGATTGGTGTTGTGTTAATGGTATAAGATACTGTGGGGATTTATGAGAGTGGTATATAATTCAAGAAAGGCCTAGGATAACACTGAAGGCCAACAACAAATCAGCCAAGTGAAAAAATGATAGAAGCCCTCTTTGATTTGTGAGTAACTGTACAAAGGGATCTTCTGAGACCTGTAATCTGTAAATAATGATGCTTTATTTCCATGTATAGGTTATTTTATATCTTATGTATAGGTTCAAGAAAAGTTTATATTCTTACCAAGAACTTAATTAATATGCAATCCTGATCAGATATAGTGAATAAAATAGTGATATATCATAAAGAA